GATTTCTACCAGGCCCCACTTAATTGTCCTATGTGGTCTGTGCAGAGGACAGCTGGACCCTGGAGAATGACATTGGGTTATTGTAAGCCTAGCCCAGTGGTGGCTCCAACTGCAGCTGCTGTTCCGTATGTGGTTTCCTTACTTGAATCAATTAACACATGTCCCAGTAACTCATATGCAGCTATTGATCTGGCAAATAAATGCCTTTTCCTTTGTGTCTGTCATAAAGCCCACCAAAGGCAGTTTGCTTTCAGCTGGCAAAGCCAGCAGTATATCTTTACTGTCCTGCCTCAAGGGTATATCAGCTCACCAGCCCTATGTCACAGCTTAGTTCGCAGGGATCTTAATCACCTTTTCCTTCCACAAGACAGTATGCTGGTCCATTTCATAGGTGACACTGTGCTGATTGGATTTCTTGGTAAAACATTTGCATGTCAGAGGGTAGAAAATACACTTGACAGAGTTTCAGGAGCCTTCCAGTTCAGTGAAATTCCTAGGAGTACAGAGGTGTGGGGTGTGTGGAGATGTCCTTCCCAAGGCAAAGGGTAAGTTGTTACAGCTGGTCCCTTCTATAGTCAGGAAAGACCCACGACGCCTACTGGGCCTATTAGAATTTTGGAGGCAGCACATTCCTCATCTGGGTGTGATACTCCAGCCCATCTACTGAGTGGATGAAAGAGCTGCCTGCCAGCCTTGAGTGGGGCCCAGAGCAGGAGAAGGCTCTGCCACAGGTCCAGGTGGCCATGCACACTGTTCTGCATCTTGGACCATATGACCCAGCAGATAGTTGAGATCCTGGCAGTTGCTCATGAATAATCGACAGAATAATGAATTGTAAAAACTGAACTCATTGCTAAGCACTCTTTCTCCATCAATGCCATGCATTTGCTTCACTTGAGGAAAATTTCTTTAACTTTGGACTCATGCACTGGATTCTAGGACCTACTTGGGCAGCTCCTCCCTAGATTCTCAGGCTTTCAGCCTGGGACTGAGAGTTCTGCCAGCAGCTTCCTGGTTCTGAAGCCTTTGCCCTTGGACTGAGCCATGCTGCTGGCATCACAGCATCTACAGCTTGCAGCCAGCCTGTTATGGGACTTCTCAGCCACCTTTGTTTTGTTGTTGTTGAGTTTCTTGATCTCTTTATATATTCTGGTTATTAATCCTATATCAGTTGCATAGTTTAGAAATAATCTCTCCCATTCTACCAGTTGCCTGTTCACTTTGCTAAGTGTTTCTTTTGCAGTACAAAAGCTTCTCAGTTGGATGTAATCCCACTGGTCAATTTTGGCTGACTTCTCAGCCACCTGAATCATGTGAGCCCATTCCCTAATTAAGTCCCTTCTCATATAGCTCTCTCTCTCTCTCTCTCTCTCTCTCTCTATATATATATATATATATATATATCCTGTTGCTTCTCTCTTTGGAGAACCCGACTGACCCAGTGGTGGCCTGCTGTTAGGACATCTTAGGTCCGCAAGCAGCAAGGCTTGGGTGTGGGCCCTTCTAGCTGGTAAGAGGCAGGTGCTAATGGCCCCTCCACTCTGGGAAACAGCAGGCTAGGTCTAAGCAGGTGACTGCACTGTGGGGAGAAGGTGGAAATGGCAGGATGATTTCTTCCAGTCGCCTCCTCTAATCCATGGGGCCAGCAGACATTCTCAGTCACTCCTGGATGCCCCCAGCCCCTCAGCATCTACCTGTGAGCTGAGGCCTCTGAAGAGAGTTCCTGAAAGGGAAATGCCAGGGGACACCTGTTTTGGCTTCAGAAGAAGTTAGCGAACCTTAAAAGGACAGGTTTTCACTTCACACACACATTTAAAGCTTTCCTGGTGCCTCTGTAGCAGTTTGTGTCTTAGTAAAAACACTTCAAAGATTGTTTTTCCAACTTGGCAGAGAGTTTCCTCAACGTTAGAAAAGCCGGAAAGAGCTATTGCCAAGGCAACCAATAGAATCCATAATATTTGGCCTCATCCTCTTTAACCATGCCCAAGTCAATTGGAGGGGTCAGAGCGGGGCGGGGTCAGCCTGTTTAAGTAGCTAATCTCCGCTCCCAGCCAGCTCCCTCCCTCTGCTCTTCAGGTCAATGCCGTTTATTGTGTCTGACAGCTGGCTCTGCAGCTGGGGCGCACACAGGCCGCTCCTTCTTTCATCTCAGAGTCTGAGACTGCTCCCTTATTAAAGAGACCTACTGATTCAGAGAGACGGAGTTTTCAAATAGGCTTTCAGGGAAGTCCCGAGAAATCAGCCTTTCCCATCAGTCCTGCCGGAGAGTGGCCATCACTTCCTCACTGGCCGCCCCTGTTGCAGCCAGGCTCTTCACAGCTCAGCCAGAGGGATCTTTTTCAAAGCTTAATCCTGTCATGCTTCTCCCCCCCCTTAATTTCCTTAAGTGGTTCTTTTCATTTCAATGAGGATAAAATCCAAGCTCCCTATGAGGGAGGCAGAGGGGGCCCGAAGTTCAGCTCCCAGCTTTCTCACCCCTCCCCCACTGGCCTGCCACCATGCTCCTTTACGGCTCCTGTATCCTTGGCTCCATCATGGTCATTTCATCCAGCCCTTCCCAGCCCCAGCTATCTGAGTTCTTGTCCTGTGTTAGGAGCTTATACTTTCCTCCAGATGGGCTAACTCTCAAGCAAATTTTGTTACTTTCTCGGGAAAATCCAATGTTAACAAATATGCTCAGGCCTGAAATTTGGAATTAAAGCTTGGACTCTTCTAACATTGGAAAGATGGGGAAGAGGAATGGGGAGAGAAAATGGGAGACCTGGGAGAGAGACCGGAGAGGCTGTGGCACAAATGCAAGGGGGAGAGTTACTGAAGTAATCCAGCTGCGAGATTTATGCATCACAGGGAGTGGAATGATGCTATTCTGAGCTGATGATGATAAACAGAGGGGCTGTATGGTAATCTCTATAGCAATCACTTAGATATACTAGTATTCAACAGCGACATTCATAAAAGCAGAGGAAATCATATAAAATACGAAAGAACTCTGTTAATTAAAAATTTATTGATTTTTTAACTAAAAATTTAAAAAGCCAGGAAAGCAGGAAAGAGAAACAAAAGACACACGGGAAATACAGAAACAAGAAGCAAGATGGTGTATGTGTGTTAGAGTCCTGCAGAGAACAGAACCAATGGTACACGCACGCGCACACACACACATACACACACACACACCCTCACTAGGATATGCACCACGGGACCAGCTCACACAGTTATGGAGTCTGAGACGTCTCATGATCTGCTGTCTGCAGGCTGGAGAAACCGAAGCCCAGTGGCGTGATTCAGTCTGAGAACAAAGTCTTGAGAACCAGGGTGGAGGCGGTAGGGAAGTAAGCCCTAGTGTCAGAAGTTCTGAGAACCAAGAACTCCACCGGCAAGGCCCCAGCAAAATCGGGTGTCCCAGTCCAAGAGGAGAGTGAGGTCGCCCTTCCTCCTCTTTGCTCTGTGCAGCAGGCCCTCAGTCGGTGGGATGGTGCCCACCCTGGCCAGGACAATGTTCTTTGCCCAGGCTCCTGATTCGAATGCTCATCTTTTCAGGAACCACCCTCACAGACACACCAGCAAGGAGGGTTTTTCAACTCTCTGGGCATCCCTTAGCCCTGTCAAATATCACACAAAAAGTTAACTATTACAGGAGGCACAGACTTAATCATACCCAGGATTACAGTAAGTGTAACTAACATAATAAAATTACAAAAATTAAGTGTCTTTAAACAACTAGACTTATTCTTTAATAGTTCAAGTGGGCCGGCGCCAGGCTCAATAGGCTAATCCTCTGCCTGTGGCGCCGGCACACCGGGTTCTAGTCCTGGTCGGGGCGCCGGATTCTGTCCCGGTTGCCCCTCTTCCAGGCCAGCTCTCTGCTGTGGCCCGGGAGTGCAGTGGAGGATGGCCCAAGTCCTTGGGCCCTGCACCCCATGGGAGACCAGGAGAAGCACCTGGCTCCTGCCTTCGGATCAGTGCAGTGCGCCAGCCGCGGCGGCCATTGGAGGGTGAACCAACGGCAAAGGAAGACCTTTCTCTCTGTCTCTCTCTCACTGTCCGCTCTGCCTGTCAAAAAAAAAAAATAGTTCAAGTGGTCACGATACAAAATCAAGGTATCAGCCAGCATTGGCTCCTTCCCAGCTCTGCAAGAGAGCAACATTCCCCTACTCTCTCCTAGCGTCTGCTGATTGCCAGCCACTCTTGGCATTCCCTGGCAGGCAGCTTCATTAGTCCAGTCTCCATCTTTGTCTCATGTGGCCTTCCCTCCATGTCTCTGTGTGTGTGTCCTCTCCACTTCTGGAAGGGACATCAGTCATTAGATTTGGGGGTCTCAAGCCGGCGCCGTGGCTCAATAGGCTAATCCTCCACCTTGCGGCGCTGGCACACCGGGTTCTAGTCCCGGTTGGGGCGCCGGATTCTGTCCCGGTTGCCCCTCTTCCAGGCCAGCTCTCTGCTATGGCCAGGGAGTGCAGTGGAGGATGGCCCAGGTGCTTGGGCCCTGCACCCCATGGGAGACCAGGAAAAGCACCTGGATCCTGGCTCCTGCCATCGGATCAGCGCGGTGCGCCGGCCGCAGTGGCGGCCATTGGAGGGTGATCCAACGGCAAAGGAAGACCTTTCTCTCTCTGTCTCTCTCTCTCACTGTCCACCCTGCCTGTCAAAAAAAAAAAAAAAAAGATTTGGGGGTCTGTCCTGTTCCAGTGTGACTTCATCTTAACAAATCACTACTTGCAAAGACCCAGTTTTCAAAGACAATTGTCATCCTCTAAGTTTCTGGGAGGATGTGAATTTTGAGGAGTCATTATTCAACCCACTACATATTCAAGATTAAATACTCTAATTTTTTTTTTTTGGACAGGCAGAGTGGACAGTGAGAGAGAGAGAGACAGAGAGAAAGGTCTTCCTTTGCCGTTGGTTCACCCTCCAATGGCCGCCGCGGCCGGTGCACCGCGCTGATCCAATGGCAGGAGCCAGGTACTTATCCTGGTCTCCCATGGGGTGTAGGGCCCAAGAACTCGGGCCGTCCTCCACTACACTCCCTGGCCACAGCAGAGAGCTGGCCTGGAAGAGGGGCAACCGGGACAGAATCCGGCGCCCCGACCGGGACTAGAACCCGGTGTGCCGGCGCCGCAAGGCGGAGGATTAGCCCAGTGAGCCGCAGCGCTGGCCTAAATACTCTAATTAAAAGCCAGAGATCATTAGGATTTTAAAAAAGCAAGACAAATATTTTCATGGTCTCCAACTTACAAACTACTCAAATTATGATGGTGCAAAAATATGCATTCAGTAGAAACTATACTCTTCAATTTTGATCTTTTTCCAGGCTGGTGATATGCAGCACAATATTCTCTTATGATGCTGGGCAGCAGCAGAGAGTTGCAGCGCCCAAACAACCACACAATCACCAGGGTAAGCTACCAATGTGTCAAATACCATTTGATTTACAGTATTTTCAACTTAAAATGGGTTTATCAGTACATAACCTCATTGTAACACAAGGAGTACCTGTAAGCTGTTCATATGACTTATTTATTTATTTATTTTGAAAGAATTACAGAGTGAGAGGGAGAGACAGATACAGAAAGAGATCTTCTATCCACTGGCTCACTCCCCAGATGGCTGCAATGGCCAGCACTGGACCAGGCCAAACCCAGGAGCCAGGAGCTTCATCAGGATCTCCCATGGGGGTGACAGGGAACCCAACATTTGTGCCATCCTCTGCGGCTTTTCCCAGGTCTTTAACAGGGAGCTGGATTAGAAGTGGAGCAGCTGGGACACAACCAGCACCCGTATGGGACACCAGTGTTGCAGGCAGTGCCTTTACCCTCTGCAGCCCCTAGTTGTATCTCTTTTGATTTTATATCTCTTGGACCTTTGTTGTTAGGAATATACACTCTTCATTATGGAACATCTCTCTCTCTCTTTTTTATTTTGATTCTTTAAAAGGATTTTGTTTATTTGAGAGGCAGAGTTTCAGAGAGAGGGAGAGACAGAGAGGTCTTCCATCGAAACTGCTTGACTCGCCAAACAGCCACAACAGCTGGGGTTGGGCTGTTCTGAAGCCATGAGCCAGGAGCTTCTTCCGGGTCTCCTACATGGGTGTAGGAGCCCAAGCACTTGGGTCATTTGTCACTGCTTTCAGGCCAGAGCAGATAGCTGGATTGGAAGTGGAACAGCTGGGTCATGAATTGATTTCCATGTGGGATGCTGGTGCCACAGGCAGAAGCTTAGCCTACCACACCACAGCGCCAGCCTGGAACATCTCTCTTTAGTCATATTTCTTATCTTGAAAGCTGAGTTTTTGTGTTATATAGCCACATCATTTTCATGGTATATTTTTTCCCATAATTTTGATCAGTATCTTTGTGTAAAATATATGACATATATGGACTGGCCTTGTGGTACATCAGAATGACAATTTGAGTTGCAACTACTTCATATCTTTCTTCTTCTTTTTTTTAAATAAAGATTTATTTATTTATTTATCTGAAAGAGTTACAGAGAGAGGGAGAGACTGAGATTTCAAAAAAATTTGTACCACAATAAATGTGTCTTTTTTTGGCTTTTTTCTTTTTTTTTCTAACTTTTATTTAATAAATATACATTTCCAAAGTACAGCTTTTGAATTACAGTGCCCCCCCATAACCTCCCTCCCACCCGCAACCATCCCATCTCCCGCTCCCTCTCCCATCCCATTCACTAAATGTGTCTTTTTATTCTGTATACATCGAAAACACTTTTACACTACAGAGTAAAAACATGAGTGCTTTGGTTGTTACTTTATTTTTCTAACCACAATATGGTTAGGAAGACATTGAAATGTTTCCTATGCCTCCATAAAATCATCCCCAGGGTGGCCCTGCCTTATATTACTGATTTTTTTTGAGATAAGGATTTTATTTAAGAATAATAACAAACAAAATTCATTATGATTCCCAGTTCATTAAGTGAACCGCTCATCGAACAGGGCCCTGTAGGAGCCAGGTTCTTAAGTCATGATCGAGGTTAGCAGAGACAGGAAGGTGGGAGATCGCAGTGAGGACCCAGGTGACGACTGAGGCGATGCCAAGGTCCTGTGCTGGCATCTGGTTGGATAGCACGAAGAAGACAGAGTCTTTATCCTTAAAAACCAGTAACCTCCACTGCAACCTCCACTCAGAATGCAAGCTTGATAAAGGCGGGGAACCGGACAGAATGGGGATAAGGAGGGTGGGTGGGTGTCGGCACTATGGCATAGCAGGTAAAGCCGCAACCCACAGCATGGGCATTCCATATGGCTGCTGGCTCAAATTCTGGCTGTTCCTCTTCTGCTCCAGCTTTTTGCTGTGGCCTGGGAAGGCAGTAGAAGATGGCCCAAGTCCTTGGGCCCCTGCACTCGTGTGGGAGACCCAGAAGAAGCTCCTGGCTCTTGGCTTTGGATTGGCCCAGCTCCTGTCATTGCAGCCGTTCGAGGAGTGAAACAGTGGATGAAAGATCTCTCTCTCTCTGCCTCTGCCTCTCTGCAGCTCTGCCTTTTAAATAAATAAATAATCTTTTTTTTTTTTTTTTAAAGATAGAATCTGGTGTATCAGCATCTTCCCAGCCCAAAGCACAGTGCCTGGCACAGGCAGGATTTGAGGCGTCATTTAACAGCCTCCACTCCAGGTGTCGTTCAGATTTAGAATTCCCATGGAGTGTCGATGTGGAGATCTTCATAGAGGAGAGACTAACCTAGGCTTCCGGCGTGGTGGGAGTTTGAAGGATGGAGGGCCGATGAAAAGACTTGGAGCAGATGTGTGGGGAGTGTTAGCGATGCTGGGAAGTGCAGTGGGCAGTCCCTCAGTCTTGGGAGATAAGACGAGGAAGTGGTTCTCTGGGCAGGCTGAATGTCCTGAACAGCACAAAGCATCCTAGGCACAGTGTCTGAGGGTAGGTTTGGAACACAAGCAGTGGAAAATAAGAGAAAACTGTGACATGAGACTTTCGTTATTATGCAACATTGTTGGCCTGGGCCCACTGTTGTCAGCCTTGATGAAGTTTTTCCTGAATCCGAGTGTTCAGCCTCCCACACACACAGCCCATGGTCTGCAGGGACTTCCTCATTTTGCACAGGCATGATGAAATCTCTGAGGAGTTTGGTCTTAAACTCTTGGCTCAAGCATATTTTCTGTGTTCAGTTCAATTAGGTAAATCTACTTACTCTATAGCAAGAAATCACACCAAATTCAAAACCGTCCAAACGGGGACTTGGCATAAGATCTTGAGACCTCTGCATGGAACAACAGGAAGAGACAGAGCTTGCATTAGCATGTTTAAGCGTGCTCTAGCCATGAAGTGTCTGAATTTAGTAGGGATCCAAAATCAGCAATGCCTCATTTTCACTAAGTGGAGAATACTGGGTGGGCCCAAGTGAAAATACAGACTGAAGCAGAGGATTTAATGTGAATTCAACCAACCAACCTTCCTTCCTTCCTCCCTTTCTTTCTTTCTTTCTTTCTCTCTCTCTCTCTTTCTTTCTCTCTCTCTCTCTCTCTCTCTCTCTTTCTTTCTTTCTTTCTTTCTTTCTTTCAGACTCATTTATTTATTTGAAAGGCATAGTTAAACGGAGAGAGAAAGAGCTTCCATCCACTGGTTCTCTCCCCAGATGGCTACAATGGGTGGGGCTAGGCCAGACCAAAGCCAGGAGTCAGGAGTTTTATCTGGGTCTTCCACGTGGCTCCAGGACATGGGCCATCTTCCACTGCTTTCCCAGGCAGGAGCAGCCGAGACTCAAACCGGCGCCGTATGGGATGCCAGCACCACAGGTGGTGGTTTTTCCTGCCATGCCAGGGTGCCGGCCCTGCATATGAACATTTCTGCTCCACTCTTTACATCCTAACAGCATCTATGGATTTTGGGTAAGACAGACCAGACGTGAGCCCCAGTCAACTTGTGACAAGTGGTGTAATAGATTAGCTCATCAATGAGCCAGTGATTCAAACCAAACAAGCCCTGGACTTTGGTGCAGTGGTTGAAGGGTAGACTGGGGGTGTGGGTATTGCGCTGGACACTATTGCAGCTGTTTTGATGTGATGAAGAGAGTCATCCAAAGGTGAGGCCAATGATCAGAAAGGGCAGAATTAAAAGAATTGAGGATAAACAGAGAACTAGATCAAGCCTTATGTAAAGTCTACCCTATCTTTAACATTCACAGATATATGAGCCAATAGTTTTCATCTATTAAACTGATTTATCTTGTTTCCTTATTTATTCCAGAAAACTAGGTTATCTTGAGTTTTCTCTCTTTTATTTTAAGATTTATTTTTTTGAAAGGCAGCGTTAGAAGGGAAAAGGGAGGGAGGGTCTGGGCCAGGCCAAAGCCAGCAGCCAGGAGCTTCTTCCAGGTCTCCTACATGGGTGCATGGGCCCAAGCATTTGGGCCATCTTCCGTTGCTTTCTGATGCATGCTAGCAGGAGCTGGATTGGAAGCAGAGCAGCCAGGACATGAACCAGTGCCCAGATCACGTGCTGGCACTGCAGGCAAAGGCTTAACCTTCTATGCCACGGCTCTGGCCCCTGCTTGTATTTTTGAAGATTTATTTATTTATTTGAAAGACAGAGTGATGGGGGGAAGAGGGGAGAGAGAGAGAGAGGGAGAAAGAGAGAGAGAGAGAGAGAGAGAGAGAGAGAGAAAGAGTTCTGTCTGCTGATTCACTTTCCAAATACCCACAACATCTAAAGCCAGGATCCAGGAACTCCTGTGGGTCTCCCACGTGGGTGACAGAGGCCCAAGTACTTGGTCCATCTTCTGTTGCCTCCCAGGTGCATTAGCAGGAAGCAGCATCAAAAGACTAACTGTTTGGGATGCGGGTGTCCCACCGTGCCACAATGTCATTCCCCTTTTTGCTTGTCTTACATTAAGTAAATAGAATTGGAAGTGAAATTTGAAGTCTTTTCCTGTCTGTCAGTCTCACTTTCCTCCCCAGAGTTAACAACTGACAGCTGGTTCCTATGTAGTTCTATCAGTTTCCTATGCATTTGTATTACTCGGTATTATAAATTATACCCTCCCTATATTTCAGAAATTTCAGTACATCCTTCTTCCTCCACAATTTATGTTAATGCAAGGGTATTCATTGCTTATGATCCCAACTATTTCTACCTCTTTCCATCCAAGATTTCTAATCTGTTGGTGGTACATTCCTGGGCTTTCCCAAAGCTTCCAAGTGAAAAAATAAATTCTTCTAAAAGTTCTCATGCAAAAGGGATGGGTCTGTTATTAAGCAGGAGGTTTTTGTTTGTTTGTTTGTTTAATTACACCAAAAAAAAAGTGAACATCTGGTCCAGATAATCAGTCTTTCTGGAAAATTACAGACCCAAACTATCTTTAAAAGCTTGTTCCTTTTTAGGATCACGCACTGGACAAGGAAATAAATTCCCAGAGCTTCAGTTGCACCAGAGAGAACTTCCTAGCCTCAAGACCCAGGTTGACTGTAAGAGGGTGTCAGAGGATGAGGTGTTGGGGAATTATATTCAGTTAGGCTTCTCTCAAAAGTTGTCAGCTGCCTCTGTATCCATCTTGGGAAGAACTACTGTAACATTATCTTTAAATTATTCAGTGTGGATGGAGTTCCAGGCTCCTGGCTTCAGCCTGGCTCATCTGCGGTTGTTGTGGCTCTGTGGGGAGTGAACCAGTGGATGGAAGATGTCTTTCTGTCTCTGCCTTTCTCTCTGTCACCCTGCCTTTCCAATAAATAAAACAAATATTTTCAAAATAAATTATTCAGTGTGGGTCTCTGCATGTCCCTACTTGGAGTTTCTAACTGCAGGGTTAAAACAATTGTAGATGATTTAATTTTTTGACAAATGCTCAAGGGATCAGACTCTTTGCCGAGAGAGATATCTCCCTGAGCTCAGCTAAAGAACATCCCTGAGAATGGACCTTCATAGGGACCTGCACGACGAGTGAAACAGTGGCAGTTTTCTGGGAACAGAGCTTTCAGGCTGTTCCTCTCTGCCTCCTCAGATGGCCGCTTTATATTATGGTGAAGGTTGCAAGGCTTTTGGTTTTGAAGGCTGCTGGGTATGTGGGAAGCAGAGACTGGGAACAGAGGAAGTTGTGGTGCCACAGAACTCCTGTTGTGCTGAGAGCTCACTTTCCCCTCGATTATACACTCAGAACGTTTCCAGGCGCTGACTAATTTCCGAGTCCTGATGATTCGGGTTGATAATGTTTGTCAGTGTTGCTTTTGCTTTGGTGGAAGAGCAGATGTTCAGAGGCCTCACTCTCTAATTTTGCAAGTGCTTCAGCTCCTTAAATTTTGAGCTTTACTGCAAGCCCAGTTGAGGAAAGTCATCAGGAAACAATTCCAAGATGCTTCCAGGAGAAGGAAGTTTTGAACCAATGATATGGTCTCAACCCCAAGATGCCTCTGACGCTCAGATGCCTCCGGGCCATACACATACACATATATGTGTATGCCCATGTGTGGGGCCGTAAGGAAGGACCCGTGACCCTGGGATCCCCACACAACTTTGGAAAACAGTAACTGATACTTGATAGTGATCACAAGGGTTATCTGTTTGGCTCCAGCCATGACAGGTGAGCACCCGAGAGAAGAGAGAGTTATTTCGGCTCACAGTTCTGGAGGTCCACGGCTGAAGGGCTGTATCTGATGGTGAGGCAGTGCAGGCATTGCATGGCGGGAGGCAGGGAGCATGCATGCGTGTGCCTCCTCTGCTGTCTGTCTCTCCTCTCATGAAGTCACCAGTGTTCAGTCTGCCCCGATGATCTATTCCTTCCTAATTCCCTCCCAAAGGTCCTGCCTCCATCACCATAGTTGGGTGAAGTTTCCTCTCTCTATTGTTTATTTTTTTTAATCGAAAGGCAGAGTTATAGACAGAGGGGATAGAGAGAGGGAGAGACAAACCACGTGCACGCACACCCGAGAGATGGGGGGGGTCTTCCATCAGCTGGTTCACTCCCCAAATGGCTGCAATGGGTGGGGCTGGGCCATGCCAAAGCCAGAAGCCCAGAGTTTTTTCTGGGTCTCCCATGTGGATTCAGGGGCCCAAGCACTTGGGCCATCTTCTTCTGTTTTCCCAGGTGCATTAACAGGGAGTTGGACTAGTAGTGGAACAGCTGCGTCTTGAACTGGCACCCATATGGGATGCTAGTTCTGCTGGCTGCAGCTTTACTCACTACTCCACAACACCAGCCTCTCTTTCTCTCTTTTAAAGATTTATTTATTTGCTTGAAAGGATTTACTTGAAAGGCAGAATTAGAGAAGGGGGGGAGACACACACACACACACGTACACACACACAGAGGGGAGAGAGAGAGAGAGAGAGAGAGATCTTCTATCTGCTAGTTCATTCCCTAAATGGCCCCAGTGTTTAGGGCTGGGCCAGGCTGAAGCCCAGAGCCTGAAACTCCATCCAGGGGTGATCTCCCACATATGGGTGCAGGGGCCCAGCTACTTGAGCCACCTTCCACTGGTTTCCCAGGTGCATTAGCAGAGAGCTGGATTGAAAGTGGATGCTGGTACTACAGGTGTTGGCTTAACTTAATGCACCACTGTGCTGTCACCCTACTCTCATTTTTAAAAAATGCTATTTATTTTTTTGGAAGGCAGAGTGAGGAAAAAGGAGAGAGATGGGGGTAGGGGAATTTTTATTTGTTGGTTCACTTCCCAAATGCCTGCCTGCCTTAGGCCAGGCTGAAGCTAAGAGCCAGAAACTCCATCTGTGTCTCTCACATGGGTGGTGGCAACCCATGTACTTAAGCCATCATCTGCTACCTTTCAGGATGTGTATCAGCAGGAAGCTGGATAGGAAGTAGAGGTGGGATTTGATTCTAGGTGCTCTGATATGGATTGTGACATCACAAGCAGTGCCATAATGCCTGCTCTAGTTTTCATTCTCTAGTTTTCACTCACAATGAATGTTAAATTTCAGCACATGAATCTTTAGAGCACACACTCAAACCATGTGCAAGCCTTAATAGTGAATTTCGACACTGATATGTGACTTTCTTTTAAATCATAAACTAGTGAGCTAGCACATTTTATTTACAGAAAATTTTTTTTGACAGGCAGAGTGGACAGTGAGAGAGAGAAAGAGAGAGAGAGAGAGAAAGGTCTTCCTTTACCGTTGGTTCACCCTCCAATGGCCGCTGCGGCCCGTGTGCTGTGGCCGGCGCACCTCGCTGATCCGAAACCAGGAGCCAGGTGTTTCTCTTGGTCTTCCATGCAGGTGCAGGGCCCAAGCACTTGGGCCATCCTCCACTGCACTCCTGGGCCACAGCAGAGAGCTGGACTGGAAGAGGAGCAACCGGGACAGAATCCGGCACCCTGACTGGGACTAGAACCCGTAGTGCCAGTGCCACAGGCGGAGGATTAGCCTAGCGATCCACGGCGCCGGCCTACAGAAATATTGATAATATAATATTTGATGAACAGGACAATAGGCATTCAGGGATCAAATGTATGTTCATCTTATTAAGCATTAGATCTGTGAAACATACACTCTAGTGAGTAAAAATGTGTACTATAGATGTAATAATGGATTACAAAAAGACATCTTTAATGAGTGTTTACTCTTTGCCACATGTTGCATAAGTTACTTTATCTGAGTATACTTCAGATTTTCACTGAAATTATGACATATCATAATCCCTACTTGACAATCAAGGAACTATTTTTTTTAAAAGATTTACTTTATTTATTTGAAAGAGTTACAGAGAGAGGTAGAGACAAAGAGAGAGGCCTTCCATCCGCTGGTTCACTCTCCAGATGGCCGCAACAGCTGGAGCTGTGCTGACCCGAAGCCAGGAGCCAGGAGCTTTTTCTGGGTCTCCCACATGTGTGCAGGGGCCCAAGGACTTGGACCATCTTCTACTGCTATTCCAGGCCATAGCAGAGAACTGGATGGGAAGAGGAGCAGCCTGGACTAGAACCGGTACCCATATGGGATGCTGGCACTGCAGGCCAGGGCTTTAACCCGCTGCACCACAGCGCTGACCCCAGAGACTATTTCAGTCTACAAACCCAATGTAGTAATATGTATAAGAGAACAACATCTAGCATTGAAGGATGAGTTGACAAGGTCATTTAGCACATAAGATGCCTGGCTCTCAGGCTTAAATGAAGGAAAGCCTGTGCTGTACGATTCTCCCCTGTTACCCTTCTTCTCTGATGTATTAAAGCCAGAAGAAGTGGGTGGAAAGGGAGTCACTGAAGCTCATCCTACCGCGTTTTCCACTGGGTAGGACAGTCGGGAGACTGATCGCAATAAACAAGCGGCTATGTGGCAAGTACCTGGGACCTATGCAGCATCACCCGACACAAGGCCAAGTCCCTCCCTGCCTCGGATCCATGCATGACCCCCAGCACCTGTAGGATGAAGTGGAAGCTCAACATGTGGCAAGACATGGAACATTCGTCATGTCTTGCCCCTCAATGGAACAGGACCCTGCTTCTTCTGAGACACGAGGTTATGGTCCAGGCGATCAAACTGCCATCTATTCCCACCCCTCCACACTTTCCCTTCCCTCCCCAGCCCCGACAGGGTGGATCTCAGCCTTCTGTCTGCATGAAGACCTGCTGGACTCTGTTGCCGTACTAATCACACCCAATGGCCTTGATGTGTTGGCATTTGTCTCCCTTATCGAACGGCGGGCTTCTCTTACTTAGCATGACCAAGTCAGATTTACCTTTGTGTTTCCAGTGCGGAGCGCCTCAGGGTGTACATTCAGAGCTGCTTGTTGAAAAGCAAATAAGTAAATGAAGCACTGGAATAGGCTGGATCCCTAGATGCCTGGGTCTGGAGCTCGAATCACCACCTGTAGACAGGAGGGATGACGAGAATAACAATGACAGTGACAATTAATTGTCTTTAGCTTGGCACTGTGTTACCTGCATCATGTGCACTAAATCATGCAGTCTCCATGACAACCGCGTGAGGTGACTGTTAAACCCACTCAGGAAACTGAGGCTGGGAAAGTGCATGAGGTGCGCTCATAGCTGCATGGTCAGTAGGACAGAGAGCAGGTTTCAGACTTCCAATCCCCTCCTTGCAGTAGGAAGGTGCAACCAGCAGAGTTCCCATCTGTCACAGCGGTACTCAGGATGAGCCTGCCTGTCACTGTCCTACATACCACGTGCTGAAGTTCTGAGGGTGGAAAGTCGGACATCCTCAGTGTGGGGGAGGTCCTGGGCTTTCAGGGCCGATCAAAGGAAAGGATATGACCACAAGGTGGCAGTAACACCTACAGGCTTTATTCGGATGGCGCTTCCACCAGTTTGCACGTCGGGGGGCTGTCCCTCACAACATGAAACTGTGGTGCAGGCACCACTGTCCAGAAGGGAACTCCCAGGGACAGGGGCTTCAGACAGGGGGCTCATACATCAGGGCCGTGTCTCTCAGCAGCACGGCAGTCTTTGGGCTTTGGGTCTTTATAGCTACAGGATCTGTCTTATCTGTGTCTTGTGGATGTGGGGTGAAGCCTCATGGGGATACAAAGCAGGCAGGCTGTACATGGCTAACAGTCTGCCCACTTGGGCTAAGTTGAATTGGCCATGTGAACGTCTGAGTCTGGTGCCAGTGCCCGTTTGAGCTAATGGGTCTCAGGCTGCTGTGAGAAGTGAGCAGCCTGGGGGAGGGGGTGCGGAGGCTGTCTCCGGTGCATTCATACAGCATGCAGGGAGCTTGGAATCTCCAGGAGAGAATCGGGCCAACATAACTGCTCACTGGGCCCTGCCGCCTGCTGGATCAGCCTTGTCAGCCAGGGTCCTCGGGAAAGGAAGCGGGTCTCCCTAAGAGACTACTGAAAATGTTGAAATTACACGGTTCTGAACAGCAATGCCAATAATTGTAAGGCGTAGATTTTAGTGGAGCCCTGCCTGTTGAAAAATAAATGAATACTGACCTTGTTTGGAAGATGATTTCTCTCTCGTCCTGTGTGTCTGCCTCATGGGCTCCACAAGACCCAGAAGCTTCCCTCAAGCGTGACCGATGCTGTATGCATGCCCAGGGACTCCTACTAACCCTGGCAGCTAATGCCTTCTCACCCCTGCCCTGGCTGGGTGCTGTGCTGTGCAAAGTGGGAACTGTGGGTCGCTGCTGGGCCAGGATCTGCTTGTTAATGGTGCATGACAGTAGGTACACACATCCACATTAAGCATCTGAACACTTTTTTTTTTTTTTTTTTTTTTTTTTTTTTACAGGCAGAGTTACAGATTGAGAGAGAGATCTTCCATCTTCTGGTTCGTTCTCCAAATGGCCACAATGGCTGCAGCTTGGCCAGACTGAAGCCAAAAGCCTGGAGCCAGGAGCTTCTTCCGGGTCTCCCACATGGGTGCAGGGGCCCAAGCACTTGGGCCATCCTCTGTTGCTTTCCCAGGTGCATTAGCAGGGAGCTGGATTGGAAGTAGAACAGCTGGATCTCGAACCAGCGCCCATATGGGATGCTGACATTGTGGGCGGTGGCTTAACCTGCTATGCCACTGCCCTGGCCCCTATCTGAATACTTTTATAGCAATTTGACGTTGCTGCAACTTCCAAGCATTTTGGTATTTTATTCATTGTCCTTTACAAAACTAGCAGCCCAAGTTTGAAAAACAAACAATAAACAAGAATTGGTCCCGCAGTTCGGAAAGTTTGAAAAGAACTGTTGTCTAGTATTTCCATTTTACAGATGAGCAGATGGAAGCTCTGAGCGATTGCCTACTTGCCCCAGGCTGCGCTGTTTGAACCCTGGTGATCTGACTTTAGGTCTCTGCTCTCCAGGCCCTGCGGTGAGCTCTAAGGTTGTACTCCACCCCCTTTGAAAGACATTGGCCATCTGGTCGTGGCTGTGGCAGCTTTTGGTAGAGCCCTTTCTTGAACTTGAACTGACCTATCATTGGGCAGGAGGCAAGCAGAGGTGGCTGACGGGGCCTGGCCATGATGGTGGAAGACTGGGGCACTTGGATTTTTGTGAATAATCACTTGTGGCCAGAAAGCCAGGGGTTCCAGCCACAGAAACGAGGGTTTCAGCACACTGCACTAATTACCATGGTTTCACAGCTGTGATCAATTCACGTTTTCTCACTTCACGCTCAGGCCTGGTCTATGGGGACTCATGTGAAGAGGTGTAAAAACAAGTTCTGTTTCCAGCCAGATTAATTATGGGCTCTGCTGAGGCCCCAGTGCAGACTGCCTGGGCTGCAAGATTGATTGGCTCGGGCTCCAGGTCCAGCTGAAGGAAGGCCATGTTGGCTGACCCAGAGCTGCCTGAGGGGCTGCAGCTGAAGCTAGGGAGGCAGCGCAGCCCTGCCCATGCCCAGCCTTGGCTCACATGCAGCTGGCCCTCCAGCTCAGGGAGGTGCCAGGAAGATGGAAATGAGGCAATGTCTCTCACATGCCCAGGACAGGATGCAGAATGTAGCAGGTACTCAACAGAAGGGGTTGCAGTATTGTTGTTAGCATTATAGATGTGGTCAACAGTTTGTCAGATATGTGTCAAACATATATATTTGATATATATATCAAATTGTATATATACCTATATACACATCTGTCTTGTCCCACTTAGCTCTGAGTTCTTTGAGAGCAGGGACATTTCGACCCTGGGACCTACATAGCATTGTGCTAAGCACACCATGGAAGTTCCTTAACTGCTTGTTGAATGAATATAAATCAAGTGATTGAGCTGACTCGTGTTAGCATCATTCCACTCTTATATCTAATGCATTTCACTTGTTACTGGCTTGCCTCACTGTAATACTCATCGTTTGTGGGGGAGTGATTCATTTCCAGGTGGGCTTGCTCCTCTGCTCCTGGGAACTCAGCCTCAAGTCCTCTGGGGGAAGCAAAGCCATCTCTTAGCTCAGTCATACCCATCCTACGCTGTGCCTTCATTCGCACACCTTAATGCAATCAACAATTATTGGGCGCCTATATGGATCAGGTGCTGAGGCAGCAGTTGGAGATACAGCCCAAAGGAGACATTCAGGTTGGGTTTTGACTGCAGCGAGCACACAGGAGCCGCGCAGACCTGGTCTTGAAAAGTTTGGAGGAGGCTCTGTTGAGCAGTGGCACTGCTGGAGGAACTGGCGGGGGTGGTGAGGGAGGAGACTGAGGACAGGGCCAGTGCCCTGTGCCAAAGGCCTTTGGAAGGCGTGACAAGGGGTTTGAGCTTCATGCTGGGGCAACAGGGAAGGCCAGGCTGTACAGGGGTGGGTGAGTGGGTGGAGTTGAGAGGTTGACACTAAGTGATTGTAAGGTGGATAGCTCACTGTCATCGCAGGGTTCGGGGTGGACTGGGAAGCACAAAGCCTGCAGGATGGGGATGTGTTTTATGAGGTGAGATTTGGGGAGACTGGGTCTGCCTAAAATCCCAGGCTCCTCTTTGTTGGCAAGGCCGGAATGAAGACAGGCTCTTTGGAACCATACTCACAGCTGTACAACCCTGACCCCATTCAGGGTGAAATAAGTGATAGACGTGGTGTTCTAAAGACAGGCTACACTGCACAGTGTATTCACAACGTGGTGAGTGAAAGGAAGTGGTTGGCATCACACACTGTGTGCACGCGCGTGTGAACGTTTAAAGGGAGGTGACAAGGCCTCCTTTTATGCAGGACAGCAGTAAAATGTTCTTGGAGACTGGAATTTGCTGCTTGAGATTTGGGTAGTGGGCAGGCAGGGAGGGAGAGGCATTGAGAGCTCGATGGAGACCAGTGCTTTTTGAGAGTTGAGTGCAAACTGGAGGGTAGATGTCTCGACGGAGGCCCTGGGAGCAGGCAGGCACCGTGTGTGTGCGTGCGTGTGCGCGCGCGCACGCATGCACGTGCCTGTGCTGAGGGCAGGGCCTATGTCAGTGTGTGCTCCTTGGATTCTTGACTTTCCAAGCTGCGAAATGAGTTACGAAGTTAAGCAATGACACCTCTGAGAAACAGCTAAGGAGATTTGCCTGGCGACAGTGGAAGTCACAGGTGGTGGGGCAGGGCGGGCCTGCAGTCTCCTGTGTGTGCAGAGTGCCAGACATAAGTCATAGTTTCTGTTCTGCTGACAAGAGGGGATCAATATACTTAAAATGCCTCAGCTGGGGCGAAGTGGTTTTTTTTTTTTTTTGCTGAAACAGAAGGCTTTGCCAAGAACTTGCAGGGACTCTTTCAGGAGTATTCCAAAGGAAGGGGCCGAGAGGGTGAGGGTCCCTCATTACAGAGGTGATCAGAATGATTCAACTCGCCTGCACCAACACCGGCCTGGCCCTCCAGAGCCTGCCCTGGGACAGCAGCCTTAGCCAGACAAAGGGGGGGACCTCCGAACTAGTTTGGGTCAACTAAGAATTGAAACTACTAGCAGTAATCGCTAAGATGTGTTGTTGAGCACTAACTATCGACCAAGCACAAAACGTCCACTGTGCTTTATTTCATTAATTCCCACAACAATTTCTTGTGGTAAACAATAATAATATTCCCATTTCACATCTGAGGAGACGGAGGCTTAAATAAAGCCAATAGCTTATTCACTGCTACCCCAGAGTAAATGCTTTTGGAATTTGTAACCTGCAGCCTCAACCTCATCTTTCTCCCAGCCCTTTGGTTTTTTTCCTACTGGGGAGTCATCTCTGCTGTGCTGTGGGCAGTTTTGTTGGGCACGGTTATTCATGGAACCTGCCTTTCCCTAGTCCAAGGAGGCAGACAAAGGACCAAAGCCAGGAAAAGCAAACGCTCCTTCCTGACACTCGGAGCCACGGTGGGAGTGGATTCTTGCCAGCAGTAGTTGGGTACGAGGTGGCCGCTGGTCTCCTGCTGCATAGAAATCAGAGCCATCCCAACTCATGTGCTGCCTGGTTCTGTAACCACTGCCCAACACCCATCCCATAAATTTCCTCTGGGCTGAAGTTAGCCAGACTTGGTTTCTGCCACTTGTGACCACTGAACCCTGACCAACACAGTCACAAGCAGTAGGTCTTGGATCCAGCAGCCTGGCTCCACTGTGTGCCCTCCCAGTGGCTCCAGATCATGCCTGAGGGTAATGGCCCTGCATAGCTGCCTCTGGGGGACCCTCACATGGCAAGAAGGCAGCTGAGAGAGCTGAAGATGGCCACTGCACCTGACTGATGGGAGTCCCTGCTCCTCTGTTTACCAGTGTGCATTATGAGCTAAGCGTCTAAGTTGCCAAGTTCTGGCTGCATTCACGGCTTCTGAGCTGAGCACTGCAGCCATTACTTTGGCCACACCTCCAGCAGCTGTGGTTCTGCCTCGCATGGCCCCTAGAAGCTGTTGCCGCAGCCCACCTTTTCCCCAGGTCACAGCTCTGACTTGGTCCCCACGACTTCATCTGGCTTCTTGGTTCCCTCCGGCTCTGGGAGGGCCTGATACCAGCTGTGTAAGCTGTGGCGTGGTGCTCTTAGAGAGCTGCTCCTGTGCCATTTATTTGGGAAGGAAAGGCTTAGCTCCCAAGTAACGAATAGGAGTTGCAGAAGCAGGGGAGAGTGAGTGGCCGTGACCGGGGGCTGCCCTCTCCCCTGTGAGTGAGGCGGGTTCGTGCTCTCCTGCGATGGCTGCCTCCAGGCAATTGTTCCCTGCTTAGGGAGGCTTCTCTGACTGCCTTCAAGGTTGTTCCGCCTCTGGGTCAGATCTGCTGCACAGGCAAGCCAATTTGGTCAGGAAGATGCCAGGCTGATCATTCTCCAATCTGATGATCATTTTCCAATCTGGTGTGTTTCCTTGCCCAACGTGAGGTTCTTCCATCGGATTCTGAATTTTTTCCTATTTTTCCTGGCTCATTGCATGGCTCTCTGGCCCATCTTTGGGGCATCAGACCTCCTGGAATCCTGCGTTCATTGTCCTGGAAGCCAGCAAAGAGGCCCAGGGTAGGAGATGGGAACCTGAACAATAAATAAGGAAAAATAAGCCTCCTTAGAGGGGGGAAAAAGGCAAAAATATGTGCTTCAGTGACCTTGTTCAGCAAAGTGGAAGAGATTAGTTTGCAATTAAAGTAGAAAAGCAAAATAAATACTAATAGACTGAGAAATCAATTCATTAATCTTACCATGGCATTTCTTTACATTTGATGCAGAGTAAATTAATTACATGCTAATTATTTTTAATTTCTGAATCGCTGATACAGGCATATGGCTCACAAACCAAGTATTCTGTAAGTTTGTATTGAGAAGTTTTCCTGCTAACTTTGCTTCTCATTAAAGTTTGAATAGTTTTCAGTGACTAAATCTGTTTTTCAAGCCAATATTTGTACTTCCCTAGACTCGGTTTTAACTCAGTTTTATGTTGTAGCATAAAATATTTTCTCACATTGTCTCTCCTTTTATAAAAGTTCGGGACGGAGGAAGATGCGCGTGTGCACACACACATACACACACACACAGAGTGGAGTGAGAGAGATCTGTTGGTTTTCTCCTGAAATGTCCACAACAGTTAGGGCTGTTGGGATTAGGGCCTGGGATTCAATCAGTCTCTCACATAAGTGACACAGGCCCACCTGTAAGTGACACTGCCTCCCAGGGTGCTTATTGGCAGGAAGCTAGAACCGGGAGTGGAGCTCGTAATTGAACTAAGTGTTCTGGTTGTGGGATGTGGGGATCTCAACTGGCATTCTAACTGCTAGGTTAAACACCCACCCCTCATATTATCTTTTGAG